ATACCTGTCCATGATAAATGACGCAGTGGGGGCAAAGTTCTTGCCACCTACTGTTAACAGGTCTCTTCCGTCTGATTAGGTCGCGAAGTCCGCGTCCATACGAGATGATTCAGGTGTTGTGGCGATCGCAGCAGGTAGGGCGGAGTGTTTCGGAGGGAATGAGCAGGGGCCGGGCCGCATGCCAAGCCCCACCCTCACCAGTAACTGCCTCTTCGAGACAAACCTCACAGGGAGACGATGCTCCCACACCAACCATTTGCTATCTCGCATATCGCGCCCACGACTGCAATATAAACGGAAGCTTGGTAAGGCTTGGCAGCGAGTCCATGGGGGAGACCGCCGGACGCTGCAGGCCACTCGTCATTTGTGGTCGCAAATGCTCATCAGCTAGATCTTATCGCAATCATCGATCTCCCACCTAATGAGCCAATTATAGTTGCTATGTAGCTCTTCACCTAGGATCTTCATCCATGTAACGCCATCAGGAAGATCACCCGGCACCGGCACCGGCGTAGTCTCAGCCTAGAGGCTGGAGATTTGTACTGCCACAGCAGCAGCTGACTGGCCTTCCGCCTATGTTTCCCAGATTTCTTTTCCCTCTATCTCGATGGCACATGGCGTTCACCGACGTTGGCACGTGAAACCAGCCACTACCGGCCGAACTCACCACAATATCCCCTAGGGCCGGAGACACTACTATGCATAACCAGTTGTACGATAGTGTGCCAAAACAGCTTCCCGTTTGGCGACGAGCACGGGATCTCCGGGGTATCGATAGTCATGCAGTAGATAAGCACCACATCGACGGATGGCTGCATGAAGGATGCTAGGCTGTAGAAGGAACTTATAACTGCAACAGTACCAATCACCGCTGTACACTGCTTTTCTCCTTCTACATGCAGAAGGAGCATCGAATATCCCCTGTTCTAGCGGTCTTGGGACCAGTAGCATACCTGGACCACACGACAACAATGTGGCAAGGTTGGTGTATACCACCACATCGAAGTCGCAAGACTAGAGAGTGACCAGTCGAGTACAAATAGGAGGCTGTCTTCCTCTCATTCTCAGGCCAGTCCTCATCAGAGAACCAGCAGTCTTTCGCTTCCAGCTTCAGTCCCACTCCAGCTTTCCGGCCAACCTCCTTCAAGATGCAGATCAAAGATCTCCTCACCGTCCTCGCTATCCCAGCGGTGGTGCTCTCCGCAGCCATCCCTCAGGATCCCACTGAGATCCCCGACTGGGACAACGGCAGCCAGGAGGACATTGTCGGTGGAACAACCGCTAGCGCGGGTGAATTCCCCTTCATCGTCTCCCTCCAGCGCTCCGGCTCCCACTTCTGCGGTGGCACCCTTCTGAACGCCAACACCATCCTCACAGCTGCTCACTGTGCTGTTGGCCAGACTGCCTCCAGCCTCACAGTTCGCGCTGGTTCCAACGTAAGTTTCCACCTTGGCCATGAGATTTGTTTAGGCTAACAAGTTGAATCCAGAGCCGTACCTCCGGCGGTGTTGTTGCCCGTGTTTCCTCCATCAAGGTCAACCCTGGCTACGTAGCGAGCACCTACAACGGTGATGTCGCCATCATGAAGCTGGCCACCTCCATCCCTACCAGCTCCACCGTCTCGTACGCTACGCTCCCCGCGTCCGGATCCGACCCTGCTGCTGGAACTACCCTCACCGTTGCTGGCTGGTAAGTTTTATCATTCTTAGCTGTGCAAGATCTGTCCGAAACACATAGCTAACTTTCAAATTAGGGGTACTACCTCTTCCGGCGGCCAGTCGCTCCCCGTCAACCTCCTCAAGGTTGATGTTCCTGTCGTCTCTCGCAGCTCCTGCCAGTCTTCTTACGGCACCTCGGCTGTTACCGCCCAGATGTTCTGCGCCGGTCTCTCCCAGGGTGGAAAGGACTCTTGCCAGGGTGACTCTGGCGGTCCTATCGTCAACAAGTCCACCAAGGTCCTCCTCGGTGCCGTTTCTTGGGGTGATGGCTGCGCTGCCCCCAACGCCCCTGGTGTGTACGCCAACATTGGCCAGGCTACTCTCCGTAGCTTCATTGCTGCCAACTTGTAAAGTGTTTAACACTTGGTGGAGACCAGGAAGCAAACGAGTATCGCAAGGCTGGGAATGGTGGTGACAGAGTGGAGGGAAAACTGAAGTGACGATCGATAAGATTCTTGTATATACAGCTTATAGCCAATTTGACTGTCACATCCTTAGCTATGTCTTCACTCCTTGACCTTTCCTTCTGTGAACATGAACCCAGTCTATACTCGTCATCTGGTATTTATGAAGGGCACTAGAGCTGACAGAGAATGAGCTTCGTGCAAAGGAAGATTTCAACACGCATCCCTCTGAAGTCTACACTGCCTTCAGGTCTTGTTTACTTCAGCTATTACCTTACTATAGACGCCAGTGCACCTGTTCAGTTTCTTTCTTGTGTAAGGTGGTCGTATGGCGCGAGAGGAGAGGAGCGGGGGATAGTCCGACCTCGGCCCCTGTCCAGGTGCGCGGTCAATTGGCCTAGCCGTTCTCGGAACGAACGGCGTCATCACATCTCCCCTAATCGACTTGACATGCCTTTATCCTCAACGGCTGCGCAGTGAACCCCTGATCTGTGCCACCATGTCTTCGCGTCTTCTTAAACTTCCGCGGGAGCTTCGAGATCTTATTTATGGCTACGTTCTCGTATGCGATGTGATTCCCGTTCAAAGCGCAGCCGTCCTATTGGAAGCCCCGGCTTGCCGCAGTACCCGTGGTCTCGAGAAGGCTTACCCGTTGAGACGTCTACGCGCCCACCGACGGATCTGGCTGACACCTCGCTTCGACATTGGTCTGACCTCCGCGGAGTACGACTCAAGGGATGGGCCTACGAACATCCGAATGACATATCAACTTGCAATTCCATCAGACACGTCGTCCAACCACATCGAGATTCGGTTGTTGCAAACATGCCGGCAGATCTATCACGAAGCTAGAAAGGTCTTTTATGGACAGAATATCTTCAGCTTTACGGAAAGCCTCAGCATACCGACCGCTTTCGCGTTCTTGTGCGACAGGCCTGCCGAATCCCTCAAGCTTATTTCATCCATGGAGCTTGCGTTAGTGGAAGCGAGCAATATGAGAGGCACCATTGGAGCTCATTATCCCGTTCTCCGCAGGTCAACGGACTCGCTTGTGCTGCAATTCGCTTACAACCACTTTACGGACCTCTGTACTCTCTTGTCCACCACGCGCATGGGGTTACGGAGGCTTCATCTAATGATCAGCAGTTCCCATCAGCGCTATGACACTGCGCCTTCTTCAGCAGAAGAGTGTTTGTTGTGGGAAGCACAGATGACCGTTGGGCCAAGACCATGGGTTGCTTCCTGGATCGAACCGTTGTTGAAAGTCGAAACGCTCGAACACCTCAACGTACAGTGGAACTTTGATCGTCCGCGGCTGCGAAGAGTGGCAGATACAATATCTCACATGCGGTGCCACATGCTTGCACAACCACGAAGCAAGCTAGCGGATGGATCAGGCTCATGCATCGATTCCAGGCTTGACTTCCAGGTGCATTACCGAGTCGCCGTGCAGAATGGCATCTCCATCAGCCGTGAATTCTCCAGGAAAGAGATGTTCAACAGCGATTGCGAGTCAGAAGATGACAGGGTTCGATCGAGCGAGGAAGACTTAACGACTGCTTGGCAACGACAGGTCCGAGAGACGTTCAGGGCCTCGGGATGTCTTTAGCCTAGGGCTTATCAGCAAGGTTCTGTTAGGAGAATAGATCCACGTTGTGGTGGCTTTATAAGCGCGTCGTGACACCATTCGATGTACCTAGGGGCTGAGACCTCGGCATGTAACTGGAGATTGGTAGAGTTCCGAAAAGAAAGATCGTGCAGCGACGCGATTGTCAAGCAAGGAGCTCTTGCCAAGTAGCCTCCATCAGGTTAGTGCCCCGCTTTGGTAGCACGTAATCCCTGCAAGCTAACGGTCCGCAGGCGCATTCCAAAATATCCACCTCAGACCTGGGCATAGGAGGCACAGCATGACAGAGGCAATGTTTGCTGCATCGACTACGCCGCAGCACAATGGCGATTGTTAAAATCCTGTGCTCCCTCAGCTCTGGTCAAAATCTACCTGCAGCTCTCAGCCGCGCGTGCTAACACGAAATTCCAAGATCGTGCGTTTCACTCGTACGGTCCGTCCAAATGTTCGGCTTTTCAGGGTCCAACCTTCTATTCAGCTCCTCATGGTCTCAGCAACCCCTTCATCATTCCAACATCTCTCGAGATTTTTTATCTACTTCTCCATCAGCTATCATGCCGTACGGAATTATGGAGCTTGCGCACAGCAAAACATTGATTGCGTCACTAGCATTGGCAACTCACTATGCTCTTCACCGAAGCGACTGGGATAACACCTTCCACACAGTCATTGGAGTCTGGACTGTCGCCTTTGGAGGCATTGCGACTCTCGAATATGTTGCTGATACGTCCACTAAATCTCTTGGTGTCGCAATCCAGCTTGCGGCAAGGACGGCAACATTCTATTTCGCCATCTTGATTGCCAGCATATTACTGCATAGGGGATTCTTCCATCGCTTGCGGAAGGCAAGCGCTTCGTTGACGTTGATCAAGTAGGATTTGCTGACATTGCAAAGTTCCCTGGCCCCATCCTCGCCCGATTCTCAAAGTCATACGGCATCTCGGTCGGGGTACTTTCGACCAACTTCCAGTATTTCTCATGGCTCGACTCTTTACCCCAGCAGTACGGAGAAGACGTCATTCGTACTGGTCCTAGAGGTAAGCCCAAGACAATGAAGGTGTGTGTGACACAGACACTGACTTTGCCTGTCCAAATGTAGAAGTTACGGTCTACTGCGCTGACGCCGTTCCTCTGATCCATGGAGCGACTTCGAAGTGCAAGAAGAACACTATATACGACAGTATTTCCGAAGTGGCAGGGCGTTCACTTCATTTCACAACTAACAAAGATGAACATCGACAAAGGCGCAAGATGTGGGATCGTGCATTCAACGCAAATGCTCTCCGCGAATATGAGCCTCGCTTGAACCGCCATGCTCTTACTCTCATGTCCAAGCTCAAAGAGCGAGCTACACGATCTTCAGTTCGAATTACAGACTGGGTCAACTTCTACAGCTTTGATGTTATGGGAGATGTCGGCTTCAACCGCAGCTTTGACATGATGAAGAAGGGTAAAGAAGATCCTGTCATCAAGCTATTGCATGAGAGCCACGCACCCATAAGTGTTTTTGCGCACATCTCTTGGGCGATGCGGCTTATCGCATTAACACCTGTCGGTTCTGGACCCCTCTTTGAGCACATAGCCTGGAGTGCAAAGGTTCTCGAAGAGCGGAAAAAGGTACGCATGCCATGGCGATCACCTCCATCTCAACGAAGCTTTCTCACGAATGCCAGGATACACCCAAAGAGAAGGACGTTTTCTCTTCTCTGCTGGACCCAAATGACGACCGGATAACGCCCGAGATGAATTCTGATTCGCGGCTTCTGATCATAGCTGGCAGGTAAGCAACCCCATGAAGTACTTGGTGCCAGGCGTTACGAGGTTTTGCCTAGTTACGGCATTGCACTTGATCCTGTTGCAACCTCCAGCTAAAGTCCCGAATACTGACATGATCATCAGCGATACCGTGGCTGCAACGTTATCATTTCTTTTGTACGAATTGTGCAAGAATCTGGAGATCCAAGCCAAGCTGCGCACCGCAATTAATGAAATCGAAACGAAGAAAGCGCATCTTAATGTTGAAGACGTCACCGAGTGTGCTTATCTGGACGGGGTAATCAACGAGACTTTGCGCCTCCATCCTGCTGTAAGTTTTCACCCAAGGAGGCCGTCATTGACATCATTAACACATTCAGACACCCTCTGGAGCGCAGCGCGAGACACCACCTGAAGGAATAACTCTACCCAACGGCACATATATACCCGGAAGAATTAATGTATGGATGCCGTTCTACAGCCTGCAACGCGACCCACGATACTTTGAAGAGCCGCTGGCTTTCATGCCAGAGCGATGGACCGGCGAACGACCTGGTGCTATCATCGACAAGCGTGCCTATCTGCCTTTCTCCATCGGACCATACAACTGTATTGGACAGAAGCTAGCCATGATGGAGCTGCGCAGTGTCACTGCCAATCTTGTTAGATCATTCGAGATCTCTTTTGCTGAGGGCGAGGATGGCAGTACAATCGAGAACAAGACCCGAGACTGCTTTACCATCATAGTGGGGAAGCTAGATGTCAAACTCACGCCACGGTACTAAGCTTGCGCGAAAAAAGGGCGACGTGCAATTGGTTCAACTTCGTCTATGCTGCTATTGCCTTTTCGTTGTTCCAGGTAAAGTAGGCTCTCTTAATGCAACGGCTATGTATTTTCTCAATGAAGCTCCAAAACACGAGTCCGAAATGTCCGCTTTTGTCTTATCTCAATGTCCTTCACACATGCTTCCTGTACACGTTCACTCCCTGACAGAGGAGGCATACTTTCACATGCTCCACGACGTCATCCACACTATCGCATTTCCCACACTTCCCCTCCACGTGCGACCGCTGCCTTGCCTTTGCGAGTTTCCTGAGAAAGTCCTCTCGACACCGAAAACACTGCCAGTCTTGATCGCATGCACAACCTCGGTGTCCCTCTCCCAGATCCAGGACCGACCTCCTCGCGCAGAACCCGCACACTGGCACGCGCGCTCTTTCCGTCATCAGGAGATTCCGCTCGAAGTCTCGCTCTACCTGCGCATGATGCGCGACACGACAGCCGTTACAGACCAGGAAGGCACCCCGCTCGCGAGCGTGTGTTGCGCAGGGTCGCAACTCACCGAAATGACGCTTCATCCCCGGGAGCAACTTTTGATCGCATGCTACTCCCGCATCGCGTCTTGCCAATACGCCAGCGCGCTGCCTACCCCGGAAAAAGACCGCGTAGTCGGTAATCCTCTGCTTCATGTGTAGCGCTTCTTCCCAGTCATCTTTTTTCTTCCTGTCCCAAGCTTGGACGAGGTCTGGATAGTTTGCGGCGACGAAGTCTTTCCTTACAGAGAGCGGCGGGGTCGTGATGATACCGGCGTTGTCGGACTCGAAGCAGAGCATGTCTAGATGTTGGGGTGTGACGTCAGTCTGTGTCTAATATGTAGTTCGTGCGGATTACATTACAGTAGGCGCCTTGATCGGCGACAATCGCAGTAGGTATGGGCAGCGGGGCGGAGGAGGGCGTGATCAGTCCGACGCTTCTGTGAACCGCCTCGATGTCTGGCGGAGAATTTGGGTTGGACATTATAGTCGAGGTGGAGACAATTGGGTGGATACGCTGGGCGTCAGGACCGACAGTAACAGTGAGGTGGATGTCTAGCGAAGTCCCCGAATTCTCGGAGGTCACGCACGCTATATCCGTAAGACTTTTACCCGCTTACTCACCTGGACTTACATCGGTCTAGTTTTCACTTTGCGAGCGACCCCCAGTGCGACGTTTCTGTTCCATGGTTGGACGCTCGTAGTGCGTGGAGCCATACATGGGCGGGCATCTACTTCCCATGGAACAGCGCTAAAGTATTTCCGACGAGCCTGCAACGATTACTGTGACGCGAAGAAAAGACGAAAAGACGTTGAACAGCCGAACTGAAGTTGCGAGATGCTCTGCGAACTCTACGTCACCTAACGTTGTTCGTTCCCTCCATTGCAAGGGTGGGTCTATTGCCGTCACAAACGCGACTTCAACCTTTGCGATTCTGCCTTCCGTTACAAGTTCTTTTACCTTTTACCACCTCTGGCGGAAATCATATTACTCACAAAATGGCGGAACGCGAATACGGCGCTTCGCCAACTACAGTAACGGAAGCCTCCAACACTATCTCGGTATTCAAGATCAACGTCGCTGCATATCCATACAGTATCATCAAATGTCTTCCTCGTCACAACGCATCTGACGCGGTCAAATCTCCTCCAGACACTTCCAAACTCAAAGCACGAGCAGACAGCCTGGTAACCGGCACTGAAGCGCGCCAGACTGCGGAAAAGGTCAGCGATTCTGCCGCCCCTCTACCGGCGTCCGGTAGTGACCAGCCCGCTTCCAACTATGGCCCTTCTTGCTACTTCCGAGACAGCTTCTTTACCTTCAACCCCAACACCGTAGACTTGAACAGAATCGGCATTGCGTACGAGTACGGCGACTACTACTTCATCTGTCTCGAACTACCACATCCCTCCTCCGGCGTATTTATGGAACAAAGCGGCTTCGTTCTACGCAGCGTTGTTGGGCCTTACCTCGCGCTCGAGTGGGCATCGATGACGAAGGAGCATATTGGAGAATATGGGATCGCTGTCTGCGGTGACGACAGAAGGTGGAAGGTTCACGGTCAAGTCCTGCGGGCTGTGCAAAATAGCTGCCGCAAGACGGCAACAGCCCTGTACCACACGCCTGGATGGCTCAGTCAATGTCATGAAGAGGAAGTGAGGTATAACCTTGGTCGGTGGTTCAAGCAGGCAGTCCACTCGGTCTATCATCATGAGAAGGAGAGGACGAATCCAAATGACGAGGAGGCAGACAAGTTCATGGAGGAGTTTATGGTGTTTGATTAGCGAGCATGGGCAGTACATGAACAGGGTGGCTACAACCAAGATCTTTGGATTGTATAGGGAGATGCGAATGACGTTTGGAGGATACGGAGCCAGTGGTATTGGCATTGGACTTTTCACAGGTCATATGAGCATCCAGTACTTCTGGCGGGTGGGCGCACCATTCTTCCTGGGTCTTCTTAGATTCCATGGTCAACAGTTCGATAGGCCCAATTCAACTCATCTATTTCCGAACTCATTAGGACCTTTTGGCTTTGCGTTCATCGTGAAAAAGCCAATCGCACTACTAGAAGGAGCTATTTCGTATCGGGAATATTCGCATTCACTCGGTGTCATGACTTTGATCGCTACCTAGCAGGGGTCTACGCTAGACTGGGACTGCCTCTCCGAGCTACACAATACTTGCCCGTGTACTCTTGCCAGGGCACGAGATCGCATTCGATACAAAGTGAATTCATGTTCAAGCTGTGATCACTTTCTGGTGCCTAACACATGTCACAGCTGACGTTTCCCGCCACTCTCCTCTCTAGATATATACTCGGCTGCTATGCCCACATAATGTTACTAACACTCACAAAACCGGCTTACTCAACTCGTTAACACTCAAAGGACGACCTTCAATTTTGTTTCAATATGGACGCCCTATACCCCAGCGAATCCTGTCCCCGGAAAGCCCCGGCCGAGAAGCGTCGATGGAACTACGATGAGGAAAGCCAACTCATCCGTCTCATTGAGATAGAGACAATGACTTATGAACAAGCAGCGCAGGTTCTCAATCGTACCGCACATGCTACTCAGCATCGTTACGCCATCATCCGACAAAGAGACGTGAGCGCCACCATAAACTGGACTCCCGAGCTCGATGCCGCTGTGATCAACGGACACCGCCGCATGCAGAAGCCCAAAGCCATCTCTCGCGAGATGAACGTCCCGGTTGAAGCGATCCAATCTCGATGGCAAGCCCTCAAGGTTATGAAAAAAGTACCGCAGGATGTCATCGATCTACAGCGGCGCAAAAAGCTTTGTGATTTCACTCCGGAAGATGATGAAGCGATTCTGCGTTTGTATGTAGAGGGTAAAGAGGACAAAGAGCTTGCGCAGATGTTGAAGATACAAGGGAAAAGTCAGACGGAAGTAATAAACAGAAGAAGGAAGTTAGTCGCGGAGAGTTCGCCGATATATAGGCGGCTAGTAAGTATGCGCAACAGTACGTTGAAGGAAAATGGGGTCAAAGTGGAGACGGAGGCACTGGAAGTGGCAGTGGGCAGAGATAAGTACGAATGGATGGAGGAGGGGACATAGGGCAGGTAGTACAGGTGTTGTTAGACTAGATAGCTCGACGTGCTAAACATCTCACACCCCTTTACCTTTACTGCTACTCCCTTTGATCTCGTCATCGGCGTCCTGTGGAAACTGTACGCCCATCGCCCTCATCATGTTGCCTGCAGGACCCGCCATGCCAGCCTGTCCCTTGAACGCCTTCAGCATGTTATCAGCGAGGTTGTAGTCTTCGTCCAGAAGGTCATCGTCATCATCATCCTCGTCTTCTTCAGCGACCTCTTGAAGCTTCCCCTTGCCCTTTCCTTTGCTGTCGGACAGGAGACCTGTTCCGGGCTTGTGTTCCGATTTGGGGTTGACGTTTAGCGCGCCATGGCTGAAGAGTTCAGCTTCCATCATCTCAGAGAGCTTCTGGATCTCTTCGTCTTCTTCCTTCTCAGCGTCTTGCTCGAGCGCTAGTGCGCGAGCTTCCTCTGTGAGAATGGCTTTCTCCGCCGCGGGTAGCATCATGTACTTTTCGAAGGCTTGTTCGTATTCGGCATACTCCGCGTCGGCTTCTGCGTCGTCGTCTTCATCCGTGTCATCCTCATCTTCGCTATTCCTGGCCTTCGCCTTGCTCTTGCCCCTGCTCTTGGTTTCGTTCTCGGCTGGCGAATCACTATCTTCTGGGTCTTCCCATCCTCTGCCGCCAGCGTCAGAGTCATTGTCAACATCCATGGGGTCCAGAACCCCATCAGCACCCTCAGCGCCTGCTTCGTTGTCGGCCAGGAAGTCGTTGAAGCGTGCAACCATCTTCTTTAAATTCTCCTCCGCATTCTTGTCACCAAACGCGTCTTTCGCGCCGCTTCCTTTGCCTTCGAGCTCCTTCTCAAACTCGGAGAAGTCAATGTTGAGCCACCCTTCATCGTCTTCACGCTTGGGCCAACTGGCGATTTCGGCGTCGGTAGGAAGTGAGTCGTCACCACTTTCCAAGTCTTCTAGTAGAAGTGCGATCTCACGCGTAGGTTTGCGGGATGCGTATAAAGAGTGCGACAGAAGCATCTGCATGCCTGCTGTAATCTTGATTCCGATCTCTGCCTTCTCGGTTGGTCTACCAGACTTGACGAGCTGCTCCAGTGCTGCGTCCCATGGCGCGGGCGGTTCCCAATGCTGACCGAGAAGCTGAGCGTACAGAACTTTAGTGAAACGAACGCTAACGTCTACAAAGTCTTCCGGAGGGAACGTGAGCGGGGTTTTGGACTTTTCAGGTTGAATGAGCCGGATGGAGATGGGGTCTCGAAGATAGAAGGCTTCGACTACTGGTGCAATATAGGACGGGTTGCTATGCAGGATGTGTGCAACCTTTCTTGGCAGAGGAAGAGTCGCATGATGTTGATTCTCCGAGATGGCAGCCGGATAACCAGCCAGGCGATGAAAAGCCTCCTTTTCAACCTTGATGTACTGCTGTGGTCGTGCTGGTGTAGCGTCGATGATCTCAATAGCTTGTGATTGAGTCAAAGGGCCGGGCTCCTCTTCGTTTCCAAGTGGTATGATTAGTAGGCGATGGCTGTTGATCCAGACTCTGTTCTCGGCAACCTCAGGGTTCAGCCATTTCGGTAGCGCATTGGCAGCTTCAATCAGGAGAAATTCTCCATCGCTGTCATATATGCGTATCCATGCGTCCTTGAACTCCTTGCTTAGTTCGCGTAGAAAGTAGACAATGAGCCATTCGTCTGCCACACTATCGCCGTAGTTAGAGCGTCCTTTGAGTAGCCACCGGTGTTCTTCGCGAACTAGATCGAGCTTGAGAGAGTCACGCTGCCATATGTACTCTTTGAGAAACTTCTTCTCTAATGCGTTCAGAGCGCGTTGGAAAGCCTGCAACCGTTCCCTTGTCTGAATGTCTGAGAGCCTGGAATCGATGATAAAGACCATGTATTCCACGACATCGTCGGGCAGCTTTTTGGGAAAGCCATCGAAACCTTCGCCAAACCACTTGAGATCATCTTGGGGCCCGTCCATGATTCAGGATTTGTATGCTAGGCGGTTGTCCCTCGGAGCCAGTCAATATCAGATGAGTGCTGGCTTCGCTGTGATTCGTCCGACACTGAGCCCAACGCTCGTATGAATATTGCCGATCCGGTAGTCCTAGGACGTGTTTTTGTATCTCCACTGCTCTCGAGAGGCGGATATAGGTGTACTTAGTAGCAAGGGAACATTCAATCCTGGAATGAAGTTTCTGGTGTAGGCGGCAAAGAGGTAACGTGACTCTAGGACGCGCTTTTCGGTTCCTTGCCCGCATGGGCTAGCGGCGGGCAGTATCCCTGTCGTGGTCCAAGCGTCCCCAAACAAACAACATCTGGAGTATGATGAAGTGGAACAAGAAGCATCCGCACTATTGAGGTGCGCCCCAAAGGACCTTTCTATTTCTCTCACTCATGCGCTGCTAGAGTACATTCTATACCATGGCGCACCTACCGGACACGCCTCGCACCGAGGTTGGCGATATGACGCGCTTTACAGTCAACGAGCCCTCATTCAGCATGGAGGAGACATTCCATGCGCCGACAGACCGCGACAGCCTCTTCAAACAAATGGGCGGCGCCCGAACCCCCCGACAGCCGCTTGCATCCCGACGCCAGCAAACCGCGAAGAACGAATTCACGCCCATGCTGAAGAGCGCAACCGCGAATCGCACGCGCCAGGTCAACGGACTGCTCGACGGCAAGATCACGACACCCGCCGCGATGAAGCCAGGCTTCCAAGTGAGCAACACGCCGCTGCCCGAGGCGAGCATGTACGACATACAATCCAGTTCCTTCGCCGATTCGGTCGATGGCCGGACACAGCTGCCAGACCCCAGCTCGAGTGCTATGAGCACGCCTACCGCGCTACCGAGAAGGGCAGAAGGCGAAATGGACAACGGAAACGGCAATGTGCTCACGCTGAGAGAGCAGGAAGCGGTATGTATATCCGGGCTCACCCGGCCACGACTACTCACAGGTTCTAACACAACTGCAGCGTCTGGAGCAGATCGACAAGGAAAACTTCGGACTAAAGCTCAAGATCCATTTCCTTGAAGAGAACCTGAAGAAGATGGGCCCCGAATTCAACCGACAAGCCATGGAGGAGAACATCAACCTTAAGTCGGAGAAGGTCACGATGGCGCGCGATATCAAGAACTACTCGAAAGACCTCAAAGCGGCCGAGAGGGAACTAGACACATACAAGCAGCAGCTACGGGAATACGCCGAGAAGGTCAAGCGACGGCACGTCGACGAAGGCATGCGGGAAGAGATGGACGAGCTCCGACGGCTAGCCGACGAACGCGCGGCCGAGGTGGAGCGTCTCGAACGGAAGCTGGAAGAAGAGAGTGGCGACAGCGAGGAGCTGGACAAGGTCAGAGCAGAGTTGGACGAGGCACAAGCAGAGCTCAACAGACGAGACGAGATGCTAGACGACCAGGACGAACAGATCAAGGACTTGGAGGAGAAGCTGAAGAATGCGCAAAGTTCACAGTCTGCCGGTGACGAGGAGAAGGACCGCCAACTTAAGGACCAAGCCGAACGCATCGCCGAGTTGGAAGAACAGCTGCAATCGGCCAAGCAGTCGCAAGAAGAAGACGCCGCAGATAAAGAGCGGCAGGTGGCCGAACAGAGCGAAAAGATCGAGGACCTCCAGGAACAACTTCGTGCTGTCGAGCGCGAGAAGGACGCTGAAATCAATGCCTTGAAGTCCAAACTCGATAGCGCTGACGACGGCAAGGATCAGGAAATTCGGGAGTTGAACGAGAGCCTGGATGAAGCGGAACATGATCTCGAGGTCGCAGAGGAGCAAAAACGCCAGGAACTCTCTGTTCTCGAAGAACGCCTACGTTCACTGGAGCGCGAAAAGGATGCTGAACTCCGAGAGCTGCAGCGGCGCCTCCAAACCATTCAAAACGAGAAGGATGCCGAGATGGATGCACTGCGCGAACGTTTGGAGCTTGCGGAGTCTCAGGGAGACAACCAGGTTCAATTGGCGCAGCAATCCGCCAACGATGCCAGACAGAAGGTGGTCGAGATTACTCGTGAAAAGGGCGTTGAAATTGAACTCCTCCAATCGAGGGTCGACGCTGCTGAATCCAGAGCCGATGAGCTGGACGACTTCCGGAAGCAGCACCAAGACGCTATGCAGCAGATTTCACGCCTACAACGGGAAGCATCCGCATACGAACAGCAGTTGCAACAGCTTCGACGCGAATTGAATCAGAAAGACCGCGATCTGGATGGGTTGGAAAGAGTACGACGTGAGCGCGATGATGCGACGCAGGAGCTTACCGGCCTTCGCTCAAACCTCAACAGCAAAGATGCTCAGGTGCAGTCGCTCAACAACGCCATACGAGAACGTGACAACCTTCGCCGTGAGCGCGACAACTTGGTTTCCAAGATGTCAAGCAAAGATGAGCAAGTGGAGGTTTTGCGCAGAGGCAACAACGACCGCGACACGCTGGTAGCTACTCTGCGGCAGGAGCGTAAAGACATGGAGAGCGAACTGCGCAACTTACGGTCTGCTGTATCTGGCAAGGACACCCAGATCGAGGCGCTCCAGAAGATCACGCGCGAACGGGATACAGTATCTCGAGATCTTTCGAACTCGCAATCAACGTTGCAAGCTCGTGAGCGCGATATCGCCGGCCTGCAGAGGAAGATTGAAGCACAAGAGACAACACTGAAGGAGCTCAAACAACTCAGGAATGACCTCAGTGACAGGACCCGGGAGCTGGATACGGCGCGACGAACGATAACCGAGCGCGAGGCCGAGCTTGACGCGTTACGGAGCCATGCCGACGAGCCTGATACCCAAATCGATGTTATGCAGGACCTAGTACGCAAACGCGACGACGAGCTAGAGAATTTGCGCGACGAGCTGAACGAGCAGAGGAGCCAAGTTGATGCCCTACAACGACTTGCAGAGGAGCGCTTGGAAGCACTTGAGGAGCTCAAGGAGAACGCTCGCCGGGAGAAGGACGACTTCGAAGCTGAAATAGAAGTTCTGCAAGAGGATGCCGACGAAGTCGCCGAGGAGAAGGCCTCGCTTGAAGAGAAGATCACCGTTCTGGAATCTATGATACGCGAAAAGGAGAACGAAAACGGGGCCCTGCAATCTCAGACCCGTGCGGCACAGCGCGAACAAGAGGCCGCTCTTAAGAACCAGATTCGCGATCTTGAAGGACGGATCCGCGACAAGGATGCTCAACACCGCAAATCTCTATCTGAAGCCAAGTCGACAGCACGGGAACAGCAATCCGCCCTTGAGCGTCAACTACGAGACCTACAGTCTCATCTCCGTGAGAAGGAATCGCAGCTTCGTCTCATCCAAGCTTCCTCGAAGTCCATCCAACAAAAGGCCAACCAGGATGCGATTGATCTGGACGAACAGGCGGAAGCCCTTACTAAGCGCCATATCAAAGAGATCAACGGTCTCGCCAAGCAGATCCAGTTCCTCCGCGCACGATGCTCGCGAGCAGAGGCGTTCCGGGAAGCCCTTGGGTACCAAAAGAAGTTCTTCTTGATGCAGATTCAGACTTACAATGAATGGTATGTCTCCACCCCTGGACCAGAAACTCTACGCAGTACAGCCACTAACACCTCCCAGTAATCAAGAAGACCTCAATCTCATCTCTCAGATGGGCATCACCCCCGACATCACCGTCCACGACCGCCGACCCAAGCTCAAATCTGCAGCTCTCGCTGTCATCGCCGCTATTCGGATGCAAAAGCTGGCCGATGGCTGGGCACAGAACAGGAAGATACATGAACAGCTCAAAGCGAAGTTGGAGGGTATGAGGCGGAATAGTGGAAGGGGCGCGGGCATGCCCACCAGCGCGAGGAAAAACTTGGGAGCTTCACATCTGAGGATTGCGCGGTAGGACTTGCAATACCCGTGAATGATGTGAGGCGGAAGGCGTTCTTTGGTCATTACTATGCATGGCTTGGTGTTGATCATCATGGGATGGGTGTTGTGGTTTGCCACTGTCGACTTTAGCGTAGCGTTATTGCATGGAATGAAGTCATGACATCTGGATTTGATCTGCTCGGAATGCAGTGCATTATAGTGGTGTTGTTATTTCTCGAGAAAATTGGGTATCATAATCGTTCCATCGCCATCGCCGCGACAAGCTCTTCCTCATACAGCTACGCTTGATCATCTCATCTCTTCCTAGTCATCCCACAGACGCCACATGCACCTGCGTCCCCGGCGTTGATGTACTGGCTTCCCTCGCAAGCAGCGCTCTTGCATCGCCAATGGTCGGGCACAAAGTCCCTCTTTAATACGTTTGCGCAAGCGACGCAGGTCAATGCCCCGGCCTCGTTCTCAAGAGAGCAAATGGGGCAGGCAGAGCTCTGCGGTGGTTGGGGGGCAGAAGTGTCTGGTTTCGGACGGGGTTTGAAGATCTCGGGGAGGGAGTTGCCAGGCCCTGATGATGCTTTCGCGTTGGCAGACGATCGCGAGGCGGTCTTTGGTGCAGACTGCGTCTTCGTTGGCTTTGGTGCTGTTGGCTTGTTCGAGGCTTTAGACGAGGTTGTCTTCTTCCTTGCTTTAGGCTGCGGCGCAAAACCTTGTATCTCGTCCATCTCCCTCCTTGCATCGCCATCTTTGTCGTCTTCGTCCTCGCATATCTTGACCAGGGCGCGGCCTTTGTCGTCGAACATACTTTTGCCATCTACGTCTACCGCTGCGCCGTCTTGATCGCCTTCGACAAACTCGTCTTCTGTTTCGCTGTCCGATAACGGTTCCTCTTTCTTTATCACGACCTCTTCCTCCTTCTTGACCGGCTCGAAACGCGCCAGTGCCGCCGCAGCTCGGAGATCCCGTCCTCGTGCACTGCCAGCGACCCTAGGCTTGCCTTTCTTTGGAACACCCTTCTCCAGCTTGACTTTTGTGTCGTCGTCGGCGCCCAATGCCTGGCCTCCAGCTCCGAACTTCTTCATTATCCTTCGTTGCTTCCTCTCCGCATAGCTCAGCATAGGCTTCTCCTTTCCACCCCTCTTCCTCTTGTTTCCCTTCCGTCCATATGTGCCACCACATAGATGCTCCGGTACATCCACAGCCTCACCATCGCTCGCTTGTAGGGCTCCTGTATCCAGATCCCTACCCCTACCCCACAGTCCTTCACCAGTATATCCTTTTGCCCAGAGCGCCCTCAACTCCACCGCGTAGCCATCTCGAACCTTCCAGAAAGCCTTTGAATGATTCATCTGTTTGCAGTGCGCAAGCTCATGAACCATGACCATCTCCACCATCCTCTGGGGCAGCCATCTTCCATTTCGGTCCCTGAGCACCAGTTGTATGACTTCGCCGGCATTGAAATTGCGACCGACAAACTCGGTGTTGTAGGGAAATTCTTCAAGCGCCTGGACGAGGATCATGTGCGACTTCATGAAGGGGTAGCATATCGCTGCGACGCGGTTCAATATGTGTTCCGCTGTTGACGATGTCGGGCCGGGCAGTGTGCGTATGAAGTTTATGTGCGCGTTCGGGCGTTGGGTGCGCTCGTTGATGCGCTCGAAGCCGAGGACCATTGTAGGGTTTTGCGCATGCGATGACCAGCTTTCGAACGGAGAGGGGCTGAGGGACGGGTGTTAAGTCTATGATTACAGTAGTAGTCGTGGAAGGTGCTGCTGGGTGGCGGTTGCTGAGACGGAGATAAGCGTGGAGCGGTGTTAATCCGACGCGACGCGACTATGACACGCTGCGTCATTACCCATCGCCCAAGATCTCATCTGGGTAGGAGCATCATCGTCCTTCAAACAACCACATTGCGCGGATAGCGATACATCGGAATGGTACAAATCCAATCATCATCCATTAAGAGTATGTCTACAAGAACGTGCCCAAGTTGACATGGACAGCTTTCACCTGCGTGTACGCAGACAGCGCATACGCGCCCAGCTCCCTCCCAATACCGCTCTGCTTGTAGCCACCGAACGGGATCCCGAAATGCGAGTCCTGACTGCTGTTGATCCAAACCATACCTGCCTCGATCGCACCTGCCACACGGTGGCCCCTCATAATGTCCCGCGTGAACACAGCCGCTCCCAACCCGAACTCTGTATCGTTCGCCTTCTCGACCGCTTCGTCTTCCGTTTTGAAGCTCTGGATAACAACAAAAGGACCGAAAATCTCTTCGCGCACAATCCTCATATCATTGCTGCAGTTGGCAAACACAGTCGGCTCGACGAAGTATCCCTTCTCTGGTATGCCGCTCTGCTGGCCGCCGAAGACGAGCTCGGCTCCGTCTGACTTCGCTGTGTCGAGGTATGCGAGGATCTTCTCTTGGGCAGCTTTGCTGACTTGAGGTCCATGGTTGGTGTCGGCATCGAACTGCGAACCAATCCTGGTACTTTCTTTGGTCTGCTTCTTGAACGCTTCGAGGAACTTATCGTAGATGGTGTCTTGGACATAAAGACGCGAGGTCGCTGTACAGACTTGTCCCATATTCCCTTGACGACTCGTTAGCCACGATTACTGGAAGTGGATACTGCAAAGAGGAGGGAGCTTACCCATGATACCCATGTGCGACCACTTCACAGCCTGTTCGAGATCGCAGTCATCGAAGACGAGGAGTGGGCTCTTGCCGCCAGTCTCTAATGTGATGTTCTTCAGGTTCGTTGCTGCAGCCTTCATGATGGCCCGGCCGGTAATGGTGCTTCCTGTGAAAGCAATCTTGTCGACATTTGGATGTTCAGAAAGCCGCGAGCCCGCGCTCTTTCCGTAGCCGTTGACGATGTTGACCACACCTGGAGGGAAACCAGCCTCCTTGATCAAGGTGGCCAGGAATAGTGCCCCTAGTGGTGTCTGCTCTGCTGGCTTGAGCACAACGGTGTTTCCGCAAGCTAATGCTGGACCGAGTTTCCAAGCAGCCATCTATGAAGCTTGTTAGCTTTAAATTACACCAGCCAGAGTCGATGGATACATACCATGACAGGGAAGTTCCAAGGAATTATCTGTCCACAGACACCAAGGGGTTCGTGTTTGGTATATGCCAGCTTCGCATTGCTCGTCTCAATCGTCTGCCCATACACCTTGTCCGCCCATCCTGCGTAGTATCTAAAGACCGAGATAGTCTCAGCGACATCTTCATCCATGGCTTGCTGGTAAGGCTTGCCGTTGTCCCACGCATCGACGGTAGCAAGGACATGGCTGTTCTTTTCGCAAAGGTCACCGAGCTTCCACAGCAGTTGGCCTCGCTCGGCGGCAGAAATGTCGCGCCATGCTGATGACTTGAAGGCAGCTCGTGCTGAGGCGACTGCAGCATCTACATCATCCTCGTTACCGGCGGAGACCTTTGCGATGACGGACTCGTCGTAAGGATTTATCGACTCTAGTGTTGAGCCGGATTTGGAGGGGACAAATTCGTTGTTGATGAAGAGACCTAACCAATGTTAGTTGTTCACGCCTACAATATTGGAAGTTGTTGGTGCTTACCAGTGGGCTGTGTCCACTTCGCGCCATTAGGTGCTGTAAGGTCGATCGACTGGGCCATTGTGGAAAATCTGGATGCGACAAAAGAAGGTTCAATATGCAGGAATTGTTACACAAAGAGGATAGAAAGATGTACCTCGTGGGCAGAGTTAGACATTTGGTCTTTTCATATCCTGCGCCCTCGATCAACGCGTCTCCATCACACCCACTCCGCACCGAGGTTACAAAGACGTTTGTCCCACATTATCATAATCAGACTCGCGATGACTATCATCCTACTCCAAGAAGCTATGCCCATTAAATTTCCTAAAACAGAAAAGAACTTGACCAAGACGCGCTGCCGAAGGCATGTGGTGGTTTCCTGAATGTGGGTCCATCAACAAGGCGTCCACATGGCAGACTCGGAACTCCAAAGGAACATTTTGGCGTCGACTTGATCAAGATGTCCACATTTTGCGCTGGCCAGTGACTTCCTCAAGTGATAAGGTAGCCTGCGTTTCTCAAGGCCATCTTTGCCCGTCAACTTGCCATCTTCGGCTTAGTACCACACTAATGCAGAGGCTCCACTGTCAGGGCCCAAATGTCCGATCGGCATCTCGAGCACGCAAGCACACGCTTTGACATTGCCCTCCAAACTGCTCTCCCGGGCATAGTCGTTATCCAGACCTTCGAGACGTTTCTGGTATGTTTCCAGCGGCACGGATCTGACGGCGCATCGAAGGCTTGAGCGAAAGATAAGCTTTCCCTTCACCAAAGTCATGTGCGAGCGCTCTACACGCGAAATCTGGGGCCCCGGAAACGACTACCAGAGGCCTATCATCCTTCCAAAACAGGGCATCGCTGCACCATGCACAAGGGAAACCGGAACACTCTGGAGCCTACATTGACGCTATAACTTCCGGTTTGGTTGTTTTATCATATTGAAGTCCGCAGAACTATCCAAGCCATCGCTTATCTTGAAGCGATGTTCTGACGAGTCAGTAGCGATGTAGTCAATACAGGCTTGACCTCGAATCAAGACACTTCAGTCCGGGGTAGAGAGCCAGTATGGACGGTGCTCGCTATCTGTGGACAATGAACTATCGTCATATCTTATCATGTTGGACGCCACATTGTCGAGCGTAGCGCATGTACGGCATGAGATGGAACTGCCTGTAACAGCTATATTCATTCACCTCGTGCAGGCACTCGACGCCGCATCATTCCTACCCTCCTGATTTCGAGAATCGTCCTTTTCCCACTATGTCGGCGACCAACAGCGAGAAGAAGCTCGGCAATCCAATGGGTCCGGTGGCTACCCGCGAGGAGGGTGTCGTTGAGCACGTCCACTTGGGATACGACACGCAGCTCACGAAGAACCGGTCACTCATTAGCGTTCTTGGTATGTGTCTTGCCATCGTGGCAGTACCCTACGGTATTGGCGGTCCCTTGATGAGCGCCATCTATGGTGGTGGCCAACTGTCGATATTCCTTGGCGTACTGGTTGTCCTCTTCTTCAATGGCTGCGTCGCAATTTCGCTTGCAGAGCTAGCATCACGGTATCCGACATCTTCTGGTGTGTACTACTGGTCGTACCGGCTGTGTGGTGAGCGCAAGAGGACACGCAAGATCGTCTCATTCCTGACCGGCTCGTTCTGGCTCATCGGAAACTGGACCATTGCACTTTCCGTCAACTTCGGTTTCGCTTCCCTCATCGCGGCTACGGTATCGATCTACAACCCAGAGTGGGTAGCATCGGACTGGGAGCTGCTTCTCATCTTCTACGCGCTGTGTGTGCTGGTCTTCGTTGTTTGCTCACTCGGAGACAAGCTGCTACCGTATGTGGACTCCGTGGCCGCGGTATGGAACTTCGTCACCATCATCGCACTTCTTGTCGCCCTCTCGATTCGCGCTCAGCAAGGTCGACATTCAGCCTCCTACGCGCTCGGCAACTACGACAGCAGCTTCTCAGGCTGGGGTACGGGCTTTACGTTCTTCATCGGTCTCCTCCCACCAGCATACGCCTTCTCTGCCATTGGTATGGTGACATCGATGACGGAGGAGTGCGCCCAGCCCGAGATTGAAGTCTCTCGCGCTATCGCCCTCTGCATACCCTTCGGTGGTCTCGCATCGCTCCTGTTCGTCCTACCGCTATGCTTTACGCTACCGCCGCTCGAAGACATCCTCGACGCACCCTACGGTCAAGCGCTTCCATACGTCATATACTCTATCATGGGCTCGAAGACCGGAGCGCTGATATTGATGATCATGATCCTATTTGTCACTCTCTTCTGCGCCATTGCTATCACGACTGCTGCTTCACACTGCACATGGGCGTTCAGCCGCGACAACGCGCTCCCCCTCGCTGGCCTCTGGACGCGCACTATCGCCGACCGGCCCATCTACTCGCTCACACTTGTCACAGTCATTGAGATGCTACTCGGTCTCATCAATCTCGGCTCCAGCAGTGCGTTTACTGCTTTTGCGTCAGTCGGCGTCATTGCACTCGCCATCGGGTACCTCGTTCCTATCGCTATCTCTCTCTTCACCGGTAGGAGAGAAGTCGCACATGCGAAATGGAATGTCGGTGGCCTGGTGGGCACCGCAGCAAACATCGGTGCTGTGGCATGGATTCTCTTTGAACTAGTGCTATTCAGCATGCCGACTGCGCTTCCTGTTACTGAGGCTTCGATGAACTACGCTAGCGTTGTGTTGGTTGGCTTCGCGTGTTTGAGCGGGCTGTGGTATGCGCTCTCTGGCAGAAACAGTAAGTTACAATGTTTATCTGCATGGTCATGCACGGCTGGAGTCTCTACTGACATTGCCCAGAGTTCAAGGGTCCGCCTGACGAGGTGGATAACGTTTACTAAGGTGTAGCATTTCTTTGCCGTGGTTGTCGGATGATCACGCTTTCTTGTGGCCCTCGTACTTCTTGTACCATGGCCTCCTCCGATGCAGGATGTTGCACATTTATCTAGATTGCAGCCTTTTGTGGAAGAATTCCACCAGGTTGCATCCTATTCTATCTGGTGGCGTTCTTACCCAAGAGTATACATTGTCTTTAAAACTACCCATCCATCAACAATTAAGTGTATGTATGCAGCGAACTCAATGCAGCTCCCACGGTGTTGCGAACAGCGTGTTACGCAAAAGGTGCAGCGTGGCATTGAGGCACTTTCGCTCTAGTTCAGGTATGAGATATATGGGTTACTTGGCCCCATGTCACATGCTTGAAGCTTAAGCCTCATCAGCTGAGTAGCAGGCATAGAAGCACTTTTTCATGTTGTGGACCACCTTAGTGAAATGAGGCGTATGTGTATGCAACAAAGCAAATCTTTATTGGGTCTGACAGGGACGCCTACACTCAAAACGGAAATTCACCCTCCGGCTTCTCCAACACACCACTATCAACTTGCTTCCTATGTTCCTCATCCAGATACGGAAGCAACAAACCCTCCCAATGTTCCCGTCCCTTGTAGTAACTAACTGTCTCATCCCAGCTCCTGATCGCCTCGGCCAGTCTTCCTGGTACATGCGGCTCCTTCGCAATAGTCGTCACCGGCTCGAAGTACGTCCTGATGGTGAAGAGTAGAGCTTTGGACTTTGGTAGACGTCGCAGAGATTGCCGTTCGGAGCGGAAGTGGATGTCTTCGACACAGAGACCTTTGGAGTTGGCAGTGGCCCATGAGGCGACCGTGTTGGAGTTTTGGTCGCCCATGCGGTGTGACCACGCAAGACCATCGTCCAATTGAATGAAGAACTACGAATTGATTAACACTGGCAACTCGATAGTTGAAGTGAATAGCTCGCTACTTACGTTGTTCCGAATGACAGGTTTTTCACACGTCATATTTGCAAAGAAACGATTCATCGCCTTTTGCAGCTTCTCCTGGTAGTGCGGTACACCGGCTTCGATATGGAGTTCATCGAGCGACATGCGGTATTTCTCAGTCAAGCGCCAGAACCCGGGTAGGCAGACCGCGCCCGCATCGATGTGGTATTGGCCATCGTCATTCAATACCATGACAACCAGATCGTCCTGGACAAGCTTTGCTGCGGTAACCATAGCTTCCGTCGGGTTCGGTGCTGGGTATTGAAATTCTTCATCAGTTACTGTGTTATGGAGGATGTTGCCGTGCAATTGGAAGACTTCCGGATAGCGATGCGTGAGATATTGGGTCAACTCTTCCAGGACCTCAAAGCATGCGAGGCGCGTGACTTCGTTGTCGACATATTGTACCCTCGATTTGACGTCCTTCTCGAGCTCCCGAACCTTGGCATCGTGGTAAGGGATAAAATTCGAGTCCATTTCAATCCATTGGTTCCAATCCATCTTCCGGATCCCCATTGTTACAAAGTTCGGGCCATGGCGGAAGGGTCGATAGAGCTTGGGATCTGTAAGCTCAAGTTTGTAGTCCTCCGCCGGCTGCGGTAACGGTGTCTTGAATGGTATAGATGGGACTTGGAGAGATCAGTACTGTTCACGTTGAGGATATCTTGATCAACTGCACCTTTTTGCTTCACGTCGTAAGATGGAGAGAGTTTTTTGCTCGAAGTCTTCTGCGTCCGCCATACCAGGCTAACCGCAAGTACAAACAAGAACGCCGCAAAGCCCAGAGGCGTCAAGACTGGGTTGATCGATGTCATGTACATTAGGTAGTAGTATTTTCCCACGCGCTGCTTCCGACGACGCTTCAAGCAGACGACAAGAGTAGTTAAATGCTAGATCATCGTGAGATGGGCGTTGACAATAGCGAATGACACCATTGGCGACTATCTACACCTTAGCGTAGGATCGCGTGTATAGGTTTGCAGGGAAATGTGGGTCGAGGAATGGCCGCTGTACTTGCCATGCTGGGTATAGCTCGAACTGCAAGGCATCGCCACGCTAAACCCCGGTCCCATATCTCGCGGCGAAAACGAGGCCTGGTAACCTTCCATGTTGAGATGTTCCGTGATTCCAGCGGCATCATTCATATCGGAGATAAGAGCTTGTTTCCTTGTGTCAGATGTGGATTGCGGGGACGCTCCACTTCCGTTCGTCAAGGAGAGCAGTTCAACGATAGCGAGCTTGTCTATACCAGAGCGAGGCAAATACCGGGCAATTTTGAGTTGTTGGACTCCCGATTGAACATTCTTGTCGTAGTCTGGGGCTTGACTCCAGTGCGATGACGCGGAACTGTCTTGCGAACATCCATTACGGGACCCAACAGCGGAAATACGCCCCATACGATGCATGGGCCTACAAGTCGCGATTATCCCCAAGACTGTGTTATAAGCTTCTTCGCCCGACTCCTTCTTGAACAGAACACTTGTCACCGACTTCTTCTTCATTTCGCCTTAAACCCAGTTCACTATCCACATTGAGGTCTTCATTATGGCTACGTTCGGAAACTACGCTGGAACCGAATCCAAGTCGAAAGCTTTCCATTACTCGCAAGCTGTCAAAGTAGGAAACGTCGTCCGTATTTCTGGCCAGGGTGGTTGGGATGCGGAAGGGAACGTAGCACCAAACGCCGCAAAGCAAGTGGAGCTAGCGCTTGAGAACATTGAGAAGGCTCTTCAATCTGTCGAAAAGGACGTGTCCTGGAAGAACGTATACGCTATTCGATCGTACCACACAAACATCGACGAGTCTGCGGACCTATGTATCGAAGGCTGGCGACGCGTCATGCCTGATCACCGACCGGTATGGACATGTGTCGAGATTACCAAACTTGGTATCGAAGGCATGCAAGTCGAAATCGAGGTGGAGGCTTTCGTTGAATAGGAGTGAGGGAGGCGGTACTCAGACATTGGTAATATGCTGGGATACGGGCACCAAGGGTGGCTACCATTCCTGTCGCATTTGCTGCATACACACTCTTCAATCTTAACAACTAGATAGTCCTTAGAGTCATGTATACATCTAGCTTGGAATCTCTGTAAAATGCGACATGAATTATGGCCGTCCCTGGTGCAAACACTAGACAGTTGAGCAAGTGGCTGGTAGTCGTAGGGCTCGGAGGCATTTTGCCGGAACTATCGCAATCTTCTGCTATAGCAAGAACCGATGAATTCTTTCATATGACCAATGTACACATGGCGGTGTTCTTGAAACTTCCGCTCCACGTAGTAGGATTACGAGACGGTTGCCAGAGCGCCTCCAAAGTTGCCCGAATAGACAGCACGGACTCGAATCGCAGATTGTTGTGTATGTTCCCCAAAATCTTCATCACACATTCCCGATGGGCCTCCAAGAGTGCGTGTGCGCCAGCAACATAGAGTGGGAAAAGAGCACAGTTCTGTGCTTTAGATCTCGTATCCATGCCTTGTATACACTCCAGACACGCATGGACATGCTGTTGGAGAAGAAAGTGCTTCGTGGGAATGTCGTGAATAGCACTGTAAAGGTATATGAGGCCTGCATGCTGGAAACAACGGACAAGTGAGAGCGATGCTGTCGTAACAGGGCTTAGCAGGTCTTGTCCTGCGTCTCCATCTGGACACTCTAGCTTGGAGTACGTGGGCTGAAGCGCATGCTCAAAGGCCTGCGCCTTCTCGACGCAAACTTCGGCTCCAGTTTGTAGCTCGTGGCGGTAGAAGCTCATCTCAGCCAATGTGGATAGAACAGACCCGAGTGATGTAGTGCCAGGGACGACTTCCCACCACACTGATCCTGACTCCATTGTCTCCCAAATGGAGGCTGGGAACGAAGGCTTTCTGTCTTGAAGCAGGGCGTCTGTCAGATCGGTGGATGCTAGTTCCGAGAGTAGCATTCTAGTCATTCTGTCTGACGATGACCATGCTGCTCGAAAGCCACCCATTGCGTTGATGATTGCGATCGCTCCTGCAAGGTGACAACCGGTCGAAGCGTCATCTGACATGCAGTTGACATAGCCTTCCAGGAAGTACAAAAGCAGCACCGCGACTAAAAGTGCGGAGAGCGCAGCACCATCGGATTGCTCGCTGCTCAGTTGGCCGCGGATAACTGACAAGCAATGCAAGCGTCTCCTCTCAAGAGTCTGTTTGGACGATCCGCGCTCTTGCAGCGCCCGATGCTCCTCGGCAAATACGCACAGAGCCTGGAGGACAGGTTGAGAGCGCAGGGCAAGTGCGACTGGTGGCGGGACTGGCTCATGAAGAGTGGAGAAAAGTGGCCATAACCGCGCTTTGAAGTATTCCAGTGCTCTTCGCTCATTGACTGCCAGGTGAATGTTATTGAGCGAACGCTCGATGGATAGCTGTGGGATGCATTCAGGCACCGTTTTAGCAGGTCGCTTCTTCCATCTGAGTAGTAACTTGTCGTAGCTGCAGTCTTCCGCGTTTGCGGAAAGGAGGCATCGTCGGCATGTGGGCTTCTGGAGGTCGCATTTGACTCGTCTTTGCTTGCAAGGCCAGCACGACCCTTCAACCGTCCGTCGACGTTTTGGCGGACTGTTGCCAGAGGATTCCGGACGCGACATCTGTCTGCATGACGTGATAATGGTCGCGAGTTCAGAGTAGAGTGACGAGGTTGCGAAAGGAGAGTGCCAGCCGATATCAGATGGCTGATGCGAATTTCCGACTGATGCGAATCTGCCCTCAGTATTGATGCATGAAGGAACAGAGATCGAAAAGGGCGAGACGCGTCGAGGCCTCCGCTGATCGGGGGCTCCGATTGGCGCACGCCAAGACCATTATTCCCGCTAGAGCCGTGGCCTCGCCGCTCCACCAAGTCATCTCTCTCTCCAGCAATGCGATAACGACGTCTGATGGGATATTTGTCACTGTTGAGTATTATGGCGGTAAGGGGTCAGGGACGTTTATGCTAACGCTTGGAGCGAACAAACAATCAAGCACCGTGTCAAGGCTCATGCTTTTGCGGGCCGAAGAAGCCCTGGAGGCGATAGGAACGGTACATGAAGCTCAACAACCCTTGAACCCTAGACTTCAACTTCTTCAACCCTTTGCTGGACTGTTCTGCCATCTAATCTCATGGGCGTCTGGCCTCCGAGCGTCGGATCATCCAACACTTTGGCCCCGAACGATGTCAGGCTGCACTGAACGTCAATAGCTTTGCTTGTTACCGTGCAACACGTTGGTACGGTAATGGTACCTGCATTAAAGCGAAACCGCGCAAGGTCAGCAGAAGTACCTGCAAGACCCTCGCTTTTTACACCTTCTGTATGCGCGTCGATGCGCATTCTTAACACTACTCTCAACATTGACGTCCTGAAAAGCAATGGACACCGGCACAGGGTGGCAGATGCTGGGGTTACTACCATGAACAAGCCCTTTGTTGAATTAGCAGGATTCGAGGGTAATCCAGTTGCATGAAAAGGTGTTCAGTTACTGCCAAACACCTACAGGGCTGAGCATTTCGAAGGTCATGTGCTCGTGGTGGCTCCGGCTCTCCACAGCAGCGGCTGCACGATTACACTAGTGTTGTCGATCACTTGGCTCAGCTCTTCTATAAGCGGTCGATGGACTGGAAGGCTGACCGGATTCACCTCAATCATTAATATCACCGTTCGCTAGCGGAAAGCGTCAGTGGCTCTTGTATCGCTATCTTGTGGCAATACCCGAAGGCAGCTCGAAATCGCATTGCGCGCCATGCCACGACACCTGGGCATGCAAGCGAATCCCAGCTGATGGTACTAGCTTGTGTAGCTGAAGAACAAATACACCGCTTAGTCGTTGCACGAGTTCCCGCATGTGGGACCGCAAGGCAAGTGGCGTATTCTTCTTCGCGGATGATGGGCTCAGGTCCCGGATCACCATGCGGAGAGTATTGAGTTTTGACATGCCAAGCGAACACGCGAGATCTGGACAAGCCACCATGCATCTTCACGAGAAAACACGAGGCTATCGTGGCTTCGTAGAATTCTGGACAACGGATACCGACGCTAGCGGCACCGGAGACTCGCAAAGCGGTATGCTGCTTTTCGGCAGGGTGCTCTTCCGCACTCACGTATTGGTGGCATTCAAGCAGGATGCTGTGACTGTACTGTCGATATTTTGCTCTGGGCTGTACTTGCTTGTCAAATGGCGAGTGTTTCGACTCACACTCTTTGAATCAGGCATATGTCTGCAACAGCTAGACCGTTCGCAAATGCGCCCCTTCGCAAGCTTAGCACCTTTGTTCTAGGTGGCCACTGCTAGACTGCGCTGACCTCCTACACTGACGGGATCTACCTGTCTTAAAAGGTCATTAGTCTAGGCTCGGCCCTGCATATCGCTGTCATGACCATCACTTGGTAGTTGTTTGGCTGGCTTTCCTCAACCGTATCGCCTTAAAGCGGCTGGCTTAGCCTAGGGCTACAGGGATAGATTACTATTTCGGGGACCGAGCTGTATCCCTCTACTCAATGTGGCTTGCTGTGGCCTCAACCGAACAGCGTTTTGGTTCCATGCGGGACAGTGATCGGCGAGAATGGAAGGCCTGGGACTTGGTACACCGTTGCTGTTAGGAGACAGTCGGGGAATATAAGGATGTTCCAAACACCTTGTCTTTTGTTCCTTACCAGCTCACAGTTTCTCGCCTTACCTTGCTCTTATAATTTATTGTTCATAATCTTCTCTGTCGTTACTTACCTCAGCTGCCATGATGGTCCCTACTAAATCCCTGGCGTTGCCACTCATCGCTCTATGTTCGATAGCATCATCAACTCCATTGGAACCGCGTCATGCCGCACCCGGCCTTATTGATGGCATTCTCAATGGTGTTCTCTCAGGCATCGAACAACTCATTGCGGACGTTCTGTCTGGTAAAAGGTCACCCATCGACAACACCAAGACGAACAAGCCGTTGACATGCTCATTGTTGAGTGTTGACAAATGTTGCGTTTGTGAGTTACACCAATCCTCCTTAATCGTCTATGGCCTAACAGATATAGGGTACGATGTCTCTGCCGAGCTTACCAAGCTGTTTGTCGACCCCAAGGACAAGCAATGCAACGACAACGCTCGTGCCGCAGTCCGTATGGGCTTCCATGATGCTGGGTCTTGGGATAAGAATGCTCTCAACGGTGGTGCCGATGGATCGCTACTCATGGACTTTGGCGAGCATGAAAGACCCGAGAACAACGGCCTTCAGAGCATTCGCACAAAACTTCGAGATGTACAATCCAAGTACAAGGTCGGATACGCTGATCTCGTCCAATATGCGCACAATCACGCAACAATCTCGTGTCCGAAGGGGCCTCGCGTACTTACATTCGTTGGCCGCAAGGATGCAACCAAAGCCGCGCCCAAAGGACTTCTACCTGACGTTCATCAAGACGCCGACAAATTGATCGCCATCTTCAAGGACAAGGGTTTCTCGCCCCACGATCTCGCAGCACTCGTAGGCGCCCACGCAACAGCAAAGCAACGATTCGTGGACGTCCGTCCAGAGGTCGTCGACAAGCCACTCGATACGACCCCCGGTGTCTGGGACGTCGAATTCTACAACGATACTCTTAACAATCCCTCCGGTGGCAGTGCTAATCAGAAGGTCTTCGTCCTCCCAAGCGACAAGGTGCTATCGACACATCCCAAGATCGCCGATGAGTGGAAGTCGTTTGTTGGTAATCAGGTCCATTGGAACCTGGACTATGCGAAGGCTTACATCAGGATGAGTCTTCTGGGTGTAGAGAAGAGAGATTTGATGAAGTTGGTGGACTGCACGAGGACACTGCCCGTTAGCAGGCCCTCATTTCCTTAGTGTACATGATTTACAATACCCTTACGCGCATCGCGATTTAATTCAATAATTACTATGACAAGATGTCTCCGTGTCATATGCATGTTTGGCACGTGCGAGTGTATTTGACGTATCGACCAGGTAAGAGCTCGGAAGCCCTGGATGGCCCCTTCAGGGACCACATCTGGAGAGGGTCGCTGAAGATGGAGTTGGATAGCCGCAATAATCGTGACTCGAAACTATCGAAAGGGGAGAACTTAGACGAAGCATTTGGCGCAACCCCTTTCAGTTATCACACTTGGCAGAAACTTTGTTGTGTCGAGATGCGATGAATGAATCGCGGTGCATGGTTGGTCTACCAGATAAAGCCAGGCGGGGTGGCTGACATAAGCGGGAGGCAGGCAAGGGTCCAGGTCAGCCGAGTCGAGCTTGCTTGTTTGTAGTGCGGAGAGCAGGTAGCTCACAAACGTCACGGCCGGCACACGAGCGTCACCACCACCACGCTCCACCCGCACGCTCACAACCCGCGACCAGATTTCGAGACACGATACGAGCGACGTAAAAGATAGCAAAGGACACAATGGCAACTCAATTCTTGAGGGCGGCGGCTCGCGCCGGCGTTCGAGCGCCCATGGCTGCTTCCCGCGGATTCCAGACAAGCGCTGTGCTGAGGCAGGATACTGTTGTTGCGCCAGTGAAGAAGCCCGTTGGTGCTTTTAGGGGAGGGTGAGTGCTCATCCCGCAATTGCATTCGCCAATGTCCGACGGGATTCCATGGCTCTACAACTACGAGCTTAGCCTGTCACATGCCGCAAGGCAGGCGCGAAGGCGAAGAAACAGACGGATACCCGGAGGGCAAAGAAGATTGAAACAGTACAACTAACACACGACAGATTGTTCGGCTTCCTTCTCGGTGCTACCGCATCCGGCGCAGGCATGTACTACTATGTCATTGACGAATACCGCGTGTCGAACCAGCTCCTGACCGAGGACATCTACGTACGTCATTCCTACATACATCCTCTACGCATAAGCTCGATTGCAAGAACAATAGATTGGAGCTACACAAGTGAAACAGGCCATGGCTAACGAAAGCAGGCTCTCCAATCCGCCGTCCAACGGATAGAAGGCTACGTTCGAACCCTCGAGGACAAAGTCGATGCGAAGAAGCGATAAATCACTCACCACATACCTATCAAGCGACGATTACGCGGCCGAACCTGCGCAGCGCGCCGAATGGGGACATGCACGGGCGGAGCAGGCAGTACAATACGATGGGCCAGTGAACACGCATGTACACCACGAGATTGGACTCTTCTCCGTCATTACGAAAGCTGATACTGATCGAGTAACTACCTTATACCAAATATATTCTACGCTGTTCATGGTGGTGTTTTAGGACCTGATGATGATTTTGTGACAGACGCCTTCCACCTGAACTTGACATGCGGACTTGAATCGTGGCCTCTCTGAAACTCTGTCCAACTACGAGATAATTGCTTCACGGTTTAAGAAGTCGCGTTTGCAATCAAATGAATGCGTAACTACACGCGCTTTCGTGTGCATTTTAATCTATTATTGAACTCATCATTATGTGAGATCTATTCACAAAACCAGAACTAACGCCGTTCATGCCATTTACCATCAGATGCCCCCAATTATCCTATCCGACTCAAATCGTCGCTTCACAACAGCGTAAGCGGCGCGATCCACTCGCACTTCGGTGGCGTAACAGGTATGTCTTCATCATCGTTGAATCGCCCGAGCTGAGCAACACGCTTGTAGATCTCCTCTAGAATCCTACCCTGCTCGCCCTCATACTCTTCTGGTTTGCCCTCCTTGTAACGGTCCTTGGGATCGATGGGCTTGCCATCTGGTGTAACACCTTCAACATGGGGGCGCGGTGCGGAGCTAGGCTGTGCTATTGAAGCCGGCTGAGAGGTAGCCTGGATAGGGGCGGGAGGGTTGCCAGGCTGGCTCTGTGTTTGAGTGGTGAAGGGAGAAGGTGAAGGCGTGGAAGCTGCTGGCGCGGCAGATGTTTGGGGCTTGAGGAAGGGGTTGGCAGCTGCCGGCTGCGTTGCGTTGTTCTGAGGCTGTTGAGTACCGAAAGGTGACGGTTTGCTTGGTTGACCGAAGGCCGGAGCTTGAGACGCTGCGGCGCCGCCGAAAGGGTTTGCCTGTGCAGGTGCAGGTACAGGTGCTTGTGTAGACGGCTGCTGAGGCTGACCGAACGGATTCGGCTTCTGAACCTGTTGGGCTTGCTGTCCAAACGGTGAATTTTGAGCTGGTTGCTGGGCTGCTTGGCCGAATGGTGCAGATTGAGCTGGTTGCTGGGCTGCTTGACTGAATGGTGAAGACTGGCTTGATTGCTGTGCTTTGTGGCCGAATGGAGATGGGCCTGACGAGGCTTGCTGACTAAATGGTGACGCGCCAGACGAAGCTTGCTGGCTGAAAGGAGAGGCATTGGCACCTGGTTGAGCCGCCTGTCCAAATCCGCTCTGTCCAAAACCTGGTTTACTGAATGGGCTTGGCTTTTGTCCAAGAGCGTTTGCTTGGCCGAAGCCCGACGCCGCACCTGGTGCTGATGGCTGGCCGAAAGCAGATCCAGAACTCTGGCCCATACTGCTGGTCTGGCCGAATGCGCTTCCTGCGCCCGGCATGGACGGTTGGCCGAATCCGGAGGCACCGAAAGCAGGCTTCCCAAATGCACTCCCACTACCACCGCCCAAGGCTGAAGGTTGACTGAACCCAGAGGCACCAAAGGCAGGCTTCCCAAATGCACTTCCACTACCACCGCCCAAGGCTGAAGGTTGACCTGTCTGTGCTGGTTGACCGAAGGCCGGTTTGCCAAATCCTAGATTACCCAACGCAGAGGCAGCGCCGAAGGCCGATGTTGAACTTGTCTGTGCTGGTTGACCAAAGGCCGGTTTGCCGAATCCTGGTGTAGAAGCCTGCCCGAACGCGGATGGTTGAGATGAAGCTGCAGCAGTCTGGAACGGATTCGCTGGTGCTTTCGTGAAGGGATTCGCAGCATTATTAGAGGACCCAGTTGGGTTGCTTGCTGATCCGCTTGCTGCAGTGCCCTTGGCGATGTCGATGCGGTTGGGATGAACGTTGGCACCCTCTGCGACATAGTTGATAGCACCTGTGATATCATCCAAAATCGCCTTTACTTGCTGCTGCATCTTCTCGCTCAGTGCTCCCTCTTCTTGTTGCTACAGACCGTTAGTTATCAAGAACCCAGCGCTGAACTTCAGACTTACCGCTGTAGGCTCATTGCCCGCCGCTCGTAATGTGTAGTACCGGGATCGAAGCTCCTCTGGACTGATCTCGACAGGCCCCTCGATGAGCTGCCGTGGAGCATCTTTTCCTGGACCGTAGCATGAAAGCGGATAGATCGGGCGCTCTTTGGCGAGATCGATCTGAATAGCGTCCTTGTCTAAGCTGAAGGTCGATGATTTTTGATCACGGTTTCCACCAAATGAGTTAGTCCCGCTGTTATCACTTGGGCGATAGCGGTCGCCGTTGAAAGCACCGAAGCGGTTGGAGCTTCCGCCGAAGCCGCCTCCACCTCCGCCTCCGCCTCGAGCTGCATCTCGCGAACTTCCAGGGTGCTCGAATTTGCAGGAATCTGCTTCGCGTGAGACGGTTGTCTGTAAAGGATAGCGGATGAGCTTACCACCGAATTTACATGCATTCCGCTGGTAGAAGCCACAGACAGTCATGTCGCCTTGTTTGTCGTGATAGTCTCCTTGTCTAGGGTCAAAATTTGGGTTTCGTAGTTGACTGGGCAATATTAGCAACGGTGAGATTTTACTTGTGTTGTCAACTTGTGGAGGTCAATGAAAGAGGCAGTCGCGGCTGGAGTGAACGGAAACTGCGAAGGTTCCAAGGTTCAGGCGGACGGACGCGACGCGCTAGTAATCAACGCGAACAAAGCACGTCAACTAAGAAAAAGACTGAACAGGCCTGCAGCCTACATCGACGTGAAAACCTACAAGATAGGTGACCTAGCGTCGATGTAGGCTCTAGACCTGTTCAGCTTTTTTCTTGCATAAGGTGAAAGCGCCAAATTTTGCCCAGGTTGTTGCGATTCACACAGCAGTGAAACGCCGTTGAAATCCATTACTTGTAGTTACCTCTGCCCATAGCAGCGCACTCTCGGTGTTCCCGGCCCTCTGCCCGTCTCTGCCCATATCGACCGATGCATGTGGCACTGGGGATGCTCGTCGCCAAATCGCGCTAAGCAATCAGCGTAGACAGTATCGAAGTAGAGTAGAAAGAGTTGACGAGACGAAATTAAGCACCTACCGTAGCACGGCAGCTGGTGTGTTATAGCTGCTTGTCGAAAGGGTGAATCTTCTTGTGCGTCTGGGTGTTGACGCTTGCCTCTGCAATGGTGTTCACCGTTCAATGTTGTCGAGGACGGAGCGATGAACGCTAGGCCATTTCAGCTTTAGCGTCACATTCCGATGCGACGGACCTTCCACGTACGCGATCATCGTCTGTCTACGCCTCGCGCATTAATGCATACAGCGCCATGTACTCCCAAGCGCACTACTTCATACCAGTGTCAGTTCACAGAGTGAAAGTCAGGACGCATCGCAGACACTTGCGCCTTCCTGAATGCTAGTCTAGTGTTCGCGCAGTCCCCCTTCGACCTTTCCGAACACAACTTGGCATGACGGCGTAGATGCACGCTTTCTCCATTCTTACTATCGGAATCTTCGTCGCAGGGTACTCGACCGCCCGTTGGGATCTTGTGACGCGCGTCTACGAACTAGGTATCTTTGCCTGGGATCACGGCGTTGTGACACGGACTGCTAAGGGTTTCTGTCTGCTGTCCCTGCTGTTCTTCCTCTTCATACTACCGGTTGTGCGCATCGCGACACAAGAGACAGACTTGGTCAGTATGGACCTTGTTCGCACTTCCAGGTCCTTACTAACAGCATCACACAGCATCCTCGACTCGCAGGCACCGGCATCTCTGCGCGCGAGCAGCTCAAACGTCGCGGTTCCTTCTAGCTAGCGGGGTAGCAGGATGATGACATGGTCACACACAATGGGTTGATGCGCGTATTCTGGCCGTCAGACGCTCCAAAGGACTCTGTGCCGGGTGTTCTGGTGGGGTTCAGAAACTCGAAGTCAGATGTCTTTGTGGTAGCTGTGCTTCAAGAAGTCGAGTTGCGTCAAGTCGAGAACGCGCTGCTTGTCGGGACCTTGCTGCGACACAGCCCACACGATGTCCAGGAACTACTTCAACGATGCGGACACTCTTCCTTGCGCGCCTTGGGCTACGTCAACCCCAGGAGCCCAGTTGAGCAGCCTGATAACGACCTCATCGTAGTCCATACCGACCCCTCGTTCCGGTTTCCGCGCCTTCATCATCCTCACGAACCGCTCGCGACAATGCAAGTCATTGTATACGACCGACCGCACCCAACGCGTATGCAATACCTCTCGCTCAAACCAATCACGCTAGCACTGGGAGACAAAAGAAGGGTCGCGGAATGGGATGTAGCTTTCGAAGAGCTGGAGAAAGCAGAAGAGAAGGAGCGGAGAAGGAAGGCACATCTCGTTGAGAAGCTCAAGCTGCACACGGTGATTGCACACCCGCGCACTCAAAAGGAGCTGGCGTTGCCGATGCTCATCGAGCAGGTGAACTGTTCGCACGAATTGAACGCCCTATTACAGAAGAACATCGGCATGATAGGCAGGCGTATGAAGCGAGCCTTAAGTGTCAGTGAGCGGGTTGTCGAGTCTGCGAACGATCTCTGGGACTATATATGGCTTGTCCTCCATTATGCGTTCAGAGTCTGGATATGGCCGGTAGCCGCACAACTCTTTATTTTTGGGCTCATCACCCATCGCATAATGGGAGAAGCCGTTCTTCAGCTTCTTCATTGGCGACCAGGTTCTTCCGACTCGCCAGCTCTGAAAGACATCTCCGCGACGGCGCAACAGATTGACATACGATTACAACAGTCCTGTTACTGGCCCATTCAGTATCTCACCTTACGCAGGAGGAAAGTCAACTGGGAATCTATCACTAACAGTCATCCGGAGTATATCCGGTTCTACAATAGTCTGTGGCTGGTTGCCAACGATGTCATAATGGGCATCGCTGTTGGAACATTCATCATCGAGAACGCCTCGTTCGTGGCCGCTCAGGTCGATACCATATTCAGTACCTGGTCAGTCGACGGTCTACGGCGCATGATATCATGGCTTATGGGATGGCCCGGAGGCTTGAAGTTGAACACTGAACTGGCTGCGTTCCTGGGCGACCTTTTTCTTTGGGTCATTGATTACTGGGCGGGATGCATATCACTCCTGCGGCCACACCTACCTGCGCTGATCCAGATCATTGGCTTCTCCGCTTTCGCTGGCGCCACTATGCCCATCTCAATCTTTTCGGACCTCGTTTCACTGCTGACGCTGCACATCTACTCCTTCTATGTCGCGTCTGCTCGCATCTTCCATTGGCAGCTCACCATCATTATATCCCTCTTCCATCTTTTCCGTGGAAAGAAGCGCAACATCCTCCGCAACCGAATCGACTCATGCGACTACGACTTGGATCAGCTATTGCTCGGCACTATTCTTTTCACACTGCAGTTCTTCTTACTGCCAACTGTGTTCGTCTTCTACTTGACGTTTGCGAGCGCACGCATTGCTGTCATCGGATTGAAAGCTGCGCTGGAGATGGGGCTTGCCTGTCTCAATCACTTCCCGCTCTTCGCAGTCATGCTACGACTGAAGGATCCTGGAAGACTACCTGGAGGAATCTGTTTCGAACTACAAGACACGACCGATCTTTCCTCTAGCACGACAAGCGAGACAGGCTCACCGCCGACGGCCTATGTGTTGCTGAAGGTAAGTCAAATTGCTGGATCCTGTGATATGCGAGAACTCACATTACGCAGTCGATCCCGCTGTCACTACGTGCGATGTTCCAACCCTATTTCGACCTCGGCGATCGCATACGCAAGCACTATTTCTCGCCTAGCGTCTTGTTGTATCTCGTGTCAGGGCAGTTTGTCCCACCGATTCACCGCCGCAACTTATACAGCTTGCAATATAGCATGCTCCCCGCCAACAGAGCAAGTATAGGCGAGCTGTGGAAGAAGCTGACAGAAAGGAGTGCCACGCCATCGCACGGGCCTAACGGGTACGCTGCGATGCCATTCAGGAAGGACATACTTAACGGTAAAAGTAGAAAAGTCACATGAAACTTCAAGTCATCTGTATCTGTCTTATGTCTCTATTTCCTCATGCCTCTGCGTGTCTTCTGCATTCCTCTGTTATGTCTTAGCTGCGGCCACGTGTTGTTGTTCTACGAGAGACATACGTCATCCGCTCTCACATGCCATTTTCACCTTCACCTCCAAACCCAAATCGAGAGAAAAAAAAGAGGGCAAGAAAGAATCAACTCAACCCCCACCCAGCATCTGCTGACCGACGCCCACTCCGAATCGAACGGCGCGCCCTCCTGAGTTCAGCCCTTTGTGTGACAAATCCTTCTCTTATGTGTTTTTTCCCATTACCAGAGTCACTTTTGGTTTTGATGGACATGTTGTCTGTTTTTTCTCTAGGTTTTTCTAATCCGTGCAACGCACTCTATGTACCCGTCAGGAGCCCACCCGAGTCCGCCAAGTGGAGGAGAGTTGATGGTGGATGGGGTAATGTTGGGGTTTATATCTTCAGGTAAAGGTGGGTCCTGTGGGCGGTCATAATGGGTGGGCTCAGGTGAGAGGGCTTGCATGCAGGGTGGCGGGGCTAGGCAGACGGCGGGCTAGGGGAGGGCGAGGTGAAGGTGAGTCCTAGAGCCGGTATGGCGTGCACGAAGAAGTTGCGCCTGTATCTGAACTGTTTGGGGTTCTGCCAACATCAAGATGTTGGGTGAGGAGTGTAGTCGGGTCTCACATGGTGATGACGACATGGCAAAGGTGCACGCAAGCGAATGTGAGCGGTCAGGCAGAGGTCTAACATAGTGAGGTTGATCAGGTAAACTTGCAAAATGCCAAATTGCATCAGGTGAGTGACCGCATTATCTGAGGCAGGTACGCTGATGGCAACACATGTGGCTACATGTTCAGGAAGTCGCGACTATACTTATGGCACGTGCTTGTCCTTTGCCCACCTGGGCAGTATCCGCATCCTGATACTACACCATGCTAACGTCCTTTGCTTCCGCCTTGCCTTACGATCTAGCGGCATCAGAAGAAATTCATTTTCTCGACCGCTTCCGTCGCCATGATTGCGGGTCCTCTCACTCCATCCTCATAAGCCGCTACACCAATCACAGATCTAGTCCTGCAATTCGGCCTTCACCTTGATTGCGACTTGCCATAGACGCGTATCTGCCTACAGCCAAGTTGCAGACCAACGTCTCGTATAGCTGCAAATTTTCGACAATCCCTTCCTCACCTCTCCTCACACCACCCTCCGCGATTCAAGGCCACCTGGACGATAGTGCTCAAGATGGAGTCACAAACCGCTGCACAAGCTGCTAGAGACAGCACTATGAGGCAAGTCACCTTTCGCGACCATCTACCACCGGTTCTGATATGTTCAACCTAGGTTCAATCCGGCTTCCTTCTTGACTGTGCGCGTCGGTCCTGAAGGTTCTCAGGAAGACTTCTTACTCCACGAAGGCATCCTAGCCGGACGCTCCGAGTTCTTCCGCCGCGCGATGAATGGCAACTGGTCTGAGAAGAAGGATCGACTTGTCAAACTACCTGAGGACGACCCCAAGATCTTCGCTCTCTACGTTAATCTCATCTATATGGGTGCGATGTACACCCAAACAGAATATCAAAAGACGACACCTGTCGAATTCCAAGCACATACTCTGGCAAATGTCAAGTTCTACATCCTCGCTCAGAAGCTGCAAGATACGCAAGCCAAGAATTCCGCTTTGGAGACCGTTCGTACCGAGATCAGCGCCATGTCGTTTGCCGCCGACAGACTACCCAACGCCGAGATCGTCGAGTTGATGTATAGGAACACATTGAAAGGTAGTCTTGGACGGCGCCTCATGGTCGACATCTGGACCTGCATCAGCACGAAGAGTATTCTCGAGACTAGTGAACACCTTTGCAGGGACTTCCTCGTCGATCTCGCCTACTCACTCCATGGTGAGCGTCCAATGCAAAATAGAAATTTAGCATGTAGAAAGGGCTATACTGCATATCAAGAGAAGCTTTGAGTAGCCATGTACCGGCTTGCACAGTACGGTCGTGGAGTTTGCCGTCTGCGGAAGGAACGGCATGGTTGGTAAATCTTCGATGAGAGCTATGAGACAGAGAGGTGAAAGCAATCATATACGGAGCATGTGCATCTAGTCAAAAAGCATGGCAGACATATAAAGCTTGCAAGTCAGGACGTTCGCTTTCCATTGATTCAATACGTCCCAATGCTGAAAACTCTAGGAAAACTTAGTCGCATTGTCATGTGTTCGTCTTTCAACTTCGTCTGTTTATTCTTCTTATCCAAAAGCAGATTAAAGACTCGATTCTGCGCCTCTTTTCGGGCAGTGTACCGTGGTGTCTACATCGATCTGACTACTCATCCGCTATTATATCTCTAGCTAATGTATACGTCTAGCATCACTTTTAGTATTGTCAGCTCAAGTTTTGTTAGTCGTCCGCATCTTGAGTTTTTCACTGATTCCACGTTTATCAATGGCTAGCTGTAGGCGGTCGCTCACCGCGCGCAGACGCCGATGATGTCACTCGAATTCACCAGTCACCGCACCAGATTTGTACAAACGAACCTGCCGCTTCGAGCTTTTTTCTTTCGCTTACACCCAGCTCAAAATAGTCTCCTTCCAAAAGCCTCCCGCCATTTCCTACTTCCCTAACGTCAATCAGGCCACTCTGCCATTATCGTAGCGGCCATGGCGACTCTCCGAGCAGGCGTGAATACAGCAATGAAGTGAGTATTCGCATGCCAGATTTCCAGAGCGAGTAGCTGACTATAGCAGCTTCGATCCATCCAAGTTTGTCACAGTCATTGTGGGCAAAGAGCCAGATCAACAGCGGTTTTCAGTCCATGAAGGAATCATGTGCGCACGCTCTGAATTCTTCCAACGTGCCATGAACGGCAACTGGACAGAGAGCAAAGAACGCATCATCAGGTTGCCGGAGGACGACCCAGAAATTTTCAACATCTACATCAACTTTCTCTACACGGGTAACGTTGTTACCAACGCCATCGAAGAACCGAAGACTGCCACTCATATCGTGGGCGAGATGCACGTACTCGGCCGGCTTTACGTGATCGGTGAGAAGCTTCAGGACAAGGCTACGAAGAACTCCGCCATCAAAAGTCTGCTGGAGGTCGCTTACGAGAAAGACGCGAACGGGAAGATCTACAGTCCATCAATCGATACCATAACCTACGTATACCGGGGCACGTGTGCTGGCAGTCTTGGTCGTCGCCTCTTGGTAGATCTCTGGGTCAAAATATCACCCGAATACATGGCCAAGAATGCGGAGACTCTGCCCAAAGAGTTTCTCATTGACCTCGCCGTCGCACTTCTGGCCGACCGTCCAGACAAGAAGCCGAAGCTGGCTACGGTGGCAAATGTGAGCAACTACATGGAGAAGATGGATTGATTCCCCACAGAGGCACCAAACACTTTCTATTGGCTTGAGTCAACTGCAGCACAGATTGAAGCAGAGCAAGCATTCTTGGAGGATCTGCAGTCCTCGATCATGTGACAGGAGTCGAGGTCGCCGACCAGGACATTCTTGAAACTATTGCCGCGATACGTGTCAACGAAACGCAAAACGGGAAAGCGAAGCAGGTTACTAGTCAGAGGCTACAACTGGGTGCACAGAATTTGTTTCAGCCTCAGGTGGTCCGAATCATTTCCATCACCTATGACAACGAAGACCAACTCTCTACACACATCATAGTGACTCATCATTGTATTCACAGACCCGAGATAGCAACAGACCGAATGACATTAACAACTAACCCCCTCATCCAAACACCATAGGAAGTCCGAGTCTCATACATCGTAAATCGCAGACCCTCAAGCAACGGGATCCCAACCACCGCTCAAGGCTTTTTCAATCGACACAAGCCGCCGAGAAAATATGCAAAGAACAACAACAACAAATTACCTCCTTGCAATCCATGTAAAAGGAAAGAAGGCACGATCCCCAGAACCCCGATGAATGAAGAACGCCAAGAGCTAAATCATATGCATATGTGCCAGCTAATACTGGCTGTTCCAAACATGTATTATAATATTCCTGATGAAAAGGTGGATTCATCGTCGTCAGAGGGAGGCTGCGGCCAGTGGTCGGGTTTGGGGATTGTGCTGCCGGGTTCGCCGTCGTTAGGTTTGCGACCCCATACTACGTAGCTAGTAGATGTTAGTATGTGTCTCTTCATCTCATGTCTAATTCCGCATTCGACTTACAAGTTGTAGTAGGCGTGCACACTCTCGTCCGCGAGCGAGTTCCTCACATGCGCGAGGTAGACTTCGACCTCGGCTGGCGTCCAACCCAGGCCGGTGACAAAGTACTCAATAGTCCATCCGTGCAAACCAACGAGCATGTTCCACATGCAGAACTTGCCGTACATGTTAGACTTGTTTTCTTTCGGCCATGGATTGACAGGCAAAGCGAAGACTTCCTCGTGCACATCCACGAACCCAGCTTCTCGGTACCACCTCTTCAGTTTGTCCGCGATGCGTAACGGCCGGCCCAGGATGTGCGCGGCCTCGTCCTGCAGATTTGACCATTCAAGCAGCGGGTAACTTTCCGGCATGCCTTCGGCACACTGGAGTTTGGAAAATATCTCCTGCGACTCCATCCACCCACCAGGTTTCAGATTGTTGAAGCCCTTTTGTATGATTTCTCGGAAGTCGGTGAAGATGCCGTGCATGAAGCGTGTGTGGACGTAGTCGTAGGTATAGGGTTGCTTCTCGGGGAACCACCAAGATGTCTTGAGGATGTTGTCCAGCCAGAAGTCGACGTTGTTGGGCAGTCTGTCTTTCTTGGGTTGGATCGCGGATAGGTCGATGCCTTCAACCTGGTGTCTGGTTAGCGTGGTCTTGGACATAACGTTGCATCGCGTACCCGCCAGTGTTTCGGAGCCTTCTTTGCTATTGCTTGTCAGTGGGGTTTTTACTAGGAGCTACAGACACAGCACATACCCATGGCGATGCACCATTGTCCGGTGCCACAGCCAATGTCCAGCATCCTCGACGATCTCTTTGTGTTCAGCGGCGCGAAGTAGTGTTTGCCTTGTAGCAGTCCTGTTATGATATGATGCTCCCATTCCAGGCGATATATCTCGAGCTGTAGGTATGCGAGTCAGTGGGAGGGCGATGGGCGAATATGGGTTCTAGCAGCGCGTACCTCGTCGTTGGGGAATGGGTAGGCTGGAATCAATTAGCTAAATTCAGGCGAAGAGTCGTCCCGTGGGAATGCATACCTCCAGCATGGAAGCCATGGTAAGTTCGGCCGTACTTCTTCTCGACGCCATACATGCTTGGCGTGAGGCTTTGCACCTCGCTGCGATGTGTAAGCGCATGGAGTATACGAGAGGAGAGGAGGAGAGGTACAAGTCGTTGAGTTCTCCATCTGACGGTGCATCCGACTACATATCGCGATTAGTTTGGGGTCCATGGTACGTATGTAGTGGGGAGAGCAGGCGGCATACATCAGCTGGGTCGGCCGTCGAGTGTGTGAAGTCGGTGAGATTGGTGGCACTGGACAGCGGCCGCAGCTTGGTCTTGCGCACGCGGTCTGTCGCAGAGGTGGCCATGATGTCTTGGGGATGCGCTACGGTGCGCTACAGGACTCGCCCCGAGTCGTGTCGAGGAAGAGGCGAAACCCAGCGGAATGGATAATGTCGTTCCCAAGGCCCTGGCCTTGGAGGGCGCGCCGACAGCGAAAGCGCCGACGGGAGCGCTAGGGGGCCAGTCAACCCCGCAGTCCTCGCAACCTCGACCGCCCTGTCTGCTGCCAGCTGTTGCAAAGACCCACAGCCACGACCAACGTGTCGAATGACACCGACAGCTTTACGCCTCATCCTGCCAGTACCGAGTGCGTGGCTTTGGACATGCGTCACTCCTTCCGAGAGATTGGGCCACCAGCTCACCGACCATCCCCCGGGTGCACACCATCAACACGCCCGTCAATGTCTCAATGCCACCATTGTTGTCGTCTTCCTTTGCTTCTCGGGCGCTAACACGACCTAAGCCCCGGCTCCTGACCCAGTTCTGGGACTGAGACCTGATCTGCCTTGCTCTGCTGTGTGTTTGAGGCACAGTTCTCTAGCGTACACAAAGGACTTTCCCAAACGGCTTCCAACCTGCGGCTATCGGAATTCCAAATGATTCCCTGCCATTGTCTTGACTATGGTTTTCGTCTTCGTCTGGTTCAGCCACTCGTAGCTCGGCGTTTCCGGCGCCTTGGCCGCGTGAGCTGCATTGGAAGGAATGCGTCGGGCGCATCAACCAATGTATCGGATCCGGGGAAGGCCGTGTCAAATCATGCCATTCTGACCAAACTGGCGGTTTACCTGCCACTGCGTCCTGGACCGTTAGACCGTTGGGGAGAAACGCTCGCAAGGCTGACAGAATCCGTGCCGACCCTCACTAGTATCCCAGCGATGTATATGCAAGGTCCGGCTATTGAGAAGTGCATCATGTCGGGATACTTGCTGCAAGGAGAAATCGCCGAGGTATTGGAATCCTGCCACTTTCACAAGAGAGGCCTGGTCAGCATGCAATGCGATCACCAAGTCTGTTGGAGTCGCAGATAGGCGTGGTGGTGGATACAAGAATCAGCAAGGAGACGACCGCTTTCATACGAACCACTCAAACCGTAATGCGCAGTTGTGTGGGTGCGTAGTATGTGGCAGTCGTTGCGGGCTTTGAAAGCGTTCTGCCTAGCATCATCCAACGGCGTCCCCTGCTATGCCATACACCGTTCGGCGACCATGCATCAAAGCGATGAGCTGTCATGCATGTGCATCTTGAACAAGTAGGCCAGGCATGACGACCTGTGGTGTAGGGTCGTAAGTAGCGCGCTTGGCGGAGATGCTAAGAGCTTTCTATCAGACGTGGGCAATGTTGGCTTCCGTATTCCAAATAAGAGTGACGAAATGCCAGTGCTTCACGTCACTGTTAACTTGCTTACCGGTGGCTCTCGCGATTTTCGTGAGCATCTCTAAGGAAAGGAATTCATTCACGGGGGAAGGGAGGTAGACCTGTGTTGTAGCAGGTGAGCGAATGTGACTGCTGTCTGAAGAGCTTGCCTGGGCTGTCGCTCTTACCCTGCAAGGCGAAAGTGCAGATGGTTCTTTCCACTCTCAAAATGGGAACTTACGTGGGCTGAGACGCAACTGCCTTGGTACGATCTCTTTTCACGCTGTCGTATCCCTGGCAAATCAAAACACGATGGGACTGTCACTATGGCATGTCGAACGCTGGCCAGCACCGCAGCGGCGACAATCATCTAATGGATCTCTCACCTATCTTTAGTACCTTGAAGTTCACCTTTACCCGTCCCCGTGCTATTACTTTCTGCGATAGCCTCACTACTAGGAAAGTGACACTTAGCGGTTCATGCAAGTCCAGTATATATTACGCATGATAATGAACCAATAACCTTGACACCTACATGACTCTCGAGAGTACAAGGACACAAATCAACAGTTCAACGAATTCAGCAAACGGGATATCACGATGACGGTGTCAGGAACTCGGGGTGCAGCACGCAAACCCGCACGCAAAAACATACGGTAAGATCAACGTAGAAGATAACGAGCTCTCTATTGATTCATGTGACAGTTTCGGCCACAAGCTTGTTCATGTCTTCTCCGGCCCCAAAAAGACTCTCTTCGCAATTCATGAGGATCTGCTCTGCTCAAGTTCAAAGTACTTCAAGAGGAAGTTGCAAAATTCTCGCAAACCCGTTGAAGGCGAATGTTCAGTCTGCACTGAGGACATCGACGAATTCGCCAAGGTTTCCTACTGCAACGGCTGCGGTCAGAACTTCCACACGACATGCATCGATGACTGGTTGCAGCGGGAACGAACTTGTCCGTTATGCCGCCTGGAGTGGCCACTACAACTCCAATCAATAGAAGAGATAATCGTTGATACATCTTCGAAAAACTGGCCTAGCGTTCACTTCAACCGATACATGCAGTGGCTGTATACTGGTACTGTCCCACAAGATGTAAATACCGTCAAGGATTGCATAAACGGTCTCGCACTTGGGGAGTATCTGGAGGATCATCGTTACATGACAGATCACGGTCGAAGCCTGGCCGAGGTGCTCTCATCCACTGGAGCGACGATCACTTGCGAACAAATTTCCTGGTTCTATGAGCATTCAGAGAATCCCAGAGGTCGCAAGTTCCTGGTCGATCTATGCGCCGCATGCTCAAGCTTGGTAGACTTGACAGTGGCCTTGCCGCCCCAATTTCTCCTCGATCTCACACACAAGCTGCTATCAAAACGACCAGCTGGAAACGTGAGAACGCGACAAGATCTGATCGACTACCTTAAAGACCATGAGGAAGACTATAATGAAGGCGCAGAGGATTAAACTATCCTTGGTCGGTCTGATCTCTAGGAACCCACTCA